GTTTATTCACTTTGTATCCCAGCTGTAGCCCCCTCCTCCAGCCCCTCCTAATCTCACCCTCCCTCCCTCATCTCCTCCCATGCCCCTCTCCAAGTCCAGCAGTAAGAGAGGACACCTCTTCTTCCATCTGACCCTATTCTATCAGGTCTCATCAGAGCTGGCTTCATTGTCTTCCTCTGTGGCCTGGTAAGGCTTCTCCCCCCTCAGGGGGAGGTGATCCAAGATCCAGCCACTGAGTTCATGTCAGAGACAGTCCCTGTTCTCTTACTATGGAACTCACTTGGAGACTGAGCTGCAATAGGCTACATCTGTGCAGAAGTTCTGGGTTATCTCCATGCATGGTCCTTGATTCGAGTATCAGTCACAGAAAGATACATGGGCCCAGATTTCTTGGTTTTGTTGCTCTCCTTGTGCAGTTCCTATCCGTTCCAGGTCTTTCTATCTCCCCCTTCTTTCATAAGATTCCCCACACTCTGCAAAAAAGTTTGGCTATGAATCTCCGCATGTGTTTTGATATCCTGCTGGGAAGAGTCTTTCAGAGGCCTTCTGTGGTAGGCTCCTCCTGCTCCCTGTTATCTCCCTCTTCTGATGTCCGTCCCGTTTACCTTTCTGAGTAAGGATTGATTATCTTACCCAGGGTCCTCCTTCTTGCTTAGCTTCTTTAGGTGTATATATTTTGGTATGTTTATCCTATATTATATGTCTAATATCCACTTATAAGTAAGTATCTACCATGTGTGTCTTTCTGATAAGCGGTGTCCTTGATGTTAAATATTCAACAATAAGCAAGGTAGTTTGTGTTCTGGAACAATTCTCATAAGGGAGAAAAAAATTAAAAGCTTTATTTACATATCTGGAATTCTAATGTCATTAACCAAGAATGTATGACACCATATTTTGTTATCATCTTAAATCTTATTTTATTCATATGTACAAGTCTTTCAGAACAAGGATACTTCTTATAAATTTTATATCTTCTATAGCAGAGCTTCACAAATATGGGTAGGATAGTAGCCTCTGATACCACCTAGTGAAATAATAACATCATGTGCCACTATCCAGTGGCATTCAGTAGGATGTAATTTCCACATAGGGGATATCTGGCAAGGCCTGTAAGAATTTTTCTTAGTTCAAAAAAGACAGTGCTACTGCCATTGCATAGCTAGAAGCCAAGGTTCCTGTGAAAGATCCTACAGTGGACAGGGGATCTCTACACAACAAACAATAATCTTTCTAAAGTGGTCGGTGGTACAAGGTTCAGAAAGCCTCAGATAAGTAAAAGCAAATTAATATGGAAAGCTATTTACTCAATATTTCAGAGTGAAAAAGGTAAACAGAAAATAGTGAGGGCATCCAGAGATGAGCAATAGTAAGATCCTGCTAGCAAAGCTGTTTGGTAATATGGATTGGCATGAAAATTATTGTACAAAGTACATAGCAGAATCAGCAGAATCACAAGCATGTGAGTTTTCTATAAATGACTAGTCCAAATTCTTCTCTTTGAGAGTTTATAAAGTCAAAATCTTAACACTCAGTGTCATTAAACTCCCAAGTGTGTCAGGCACAAACTAACACTAAATAGAAAATTACTTCCTTTTGCACTAACAGATATGCATTTGGTTCCTGAGTCTCACCTCTTGATGTTTCACTTCTGTCTTTGTAATTCTGCGTGATACTTGCCTTTATTCCCCTGAAGTACAGCTCCCAAGGAAGAGGAAAATCAGATAGTTATGGCTTCCTAATGTACTCTTATGATCCATACTGTGATTGTTTTAAAAAATCAAACAACAGACATTTCAAAACGTAATAATGGGGTTTATATTTTCCAAAAACTAGGAGGATTTTTTTTAATTTTATTTTTTCTTATCAGTTACATTTTATTAACTCTGTATCCCAGCCATGTCCCGATCCCTCATTCCCTCCCAGTCCCTCCCTCCCTCATCTCCACCGTGCCCCTTTCCAAGTCCACTGATGGGGGGGGACCTCCTCCCCATTCATCTGATCCTGTTTTATCAGGTATCTTAGGACTGGCTGCAAAGCTCTCCTCTGTGGCCTAACAGGACTGCTCCTCCCTTGGGGCGGGTGGGGGGGGGGAGGCCAAAGAGCCAGTCATTGAGTTCCTGTTAGAAATAGTCCTTGTTCCCCTCACTATGGGAAACCAATTGGTTACTGAGCTACCACAGGCTACATTTGAGCAGAGGTTCTAGGTTATATCCATACATGGTCCTTGGTTGAATGTCAGTCTCAGAAAAGACCCTGTGCCCAGATATATTTGGTCCTTGTGGAGCACCTATCCTTTCCCCATCAGACTAACTCCCCTTCTTTCTTATGATTCCCTGTACTCTGCCAAAGGTTTGGTCATGAATCTTTGCTTTGAAAACACTGCTAGTTAGAGTCTTTCAAATGCGCTCAATAGACTCCTGTCATACGTTCAATGCACATCCCATCTGTCTTTCTAAACGAGGATTGATCATCTTACCCCATGTCCGCTCTCTTGATTATCTTTTTTAGGTGTACAGATTTCATTATGTTTATCATATCTTATAGGTCTATATAAGTGACTATATACCATGTTTGTCTTTCTCCTTCTGGGATATTTCACTCAGAATTATCTTTTCTAGATCTAGGAGGATTTTGAAAGTACTCAATACCAAAAGACAAAAAAAAAAAAAAAAAAAAAAAAAGGAAAAAAGGACACACGGTTGGAAAAAGAAGACATGCTTATCTTTTTTTTTTTGTGGCTTGAACATAACACACACTTGAATCAAAACATCATATGGTATAACATAAATATGTACCAACTTCTATGCCTCTAAAAATAATAGTTCTAAAATGAACTGTCAAGATCACATATTGGCTTATATTGGCTTAACTGATCACTTTGAAAATTATTTTTAATTAAAATATAATTATATTATTTTCCCCTTCCCATGAACCCCCTTGAATTCATGGCCTGTATTTTAAATTGTGCATATATAAATGCATAAATTCCTTAAACTGGCTAGCCTTTGCAGTGCGTTCTAGCTACTGATATTCAATGATTTGCAGAAAATTCAGAATAGCCTAAGTTCCTTCACCTGTCTTCACCTATAATTTACACGTTGGCCCTATATTCAATAACATGAAAATCTACAGCAGAATTGTTGATGGAAAACATTTATATTAGTGAATTTTCCCATTTTGGTCATACCTTTCCCTTAGATAATACTAATTAGAAGTAAGATGTTCTCTAAGAAAGCAGGAAGCTAGAGCCTGGAGCCTGTGGGAAAACAGGATCTTTTCCGGAGCTGAGTGTCCTGAGGAATAGTACTCCCTCAAGAACCAGCTATACCACTCCTAGGCATATATCCAAAAGATGCTCAAGTACACAACAAGGACATTTGCTCAACCATGTTCATAGGAGAATTTTTTCTTAATAGCCAGAACCTGGAAACAAACCAGATGTTCCTCCACGGAGAAATGGATATGGAAATCGTGAAACATTTACACAATGGAATTAAAAACACAGCAATTAAAAACACAGAAATCATGAAATCTGCAGGCAAATGGTGGGATCTAGTAATGATCATCCTGAGTGAGGTATCCCAGAAGCAGAGAGACACATATGGTGTATACTCACTCATAAGTGGATATTAGACGTATAATATAGGATAAGCATATTAAAATCTGTGCACCTAAAGAAACTAAGCAAGGAGGACCCTGGTAAGTTGCTCAATCTTCATTCAGAAAGGCAAATTAGATGGACATCAAAAGAGGGACCAAACAGGGAACAGGACAGGAACCTGTCACAGAGGGCCTCTGAAAGACTCTACCCAGCAGAGGATCAAAACATATGCTGAGATTCATAGCCAAACTTTTTGCAGAGTGTAGGGAATCTTATGAAAGAAGGGGGAGATAGAAAGACCTGGAGGGGGCAGGAGCTCCACAAGGAAAGCAACAGAACCAAAAAATATCTGGCCACAGGGTCTTTTCTGAGACTGATACTCCAAACAAGGATCATGCATGAAGATAATTTAGAATTCCTGCACAGAAGTAGCCCATGGCAGGTCAGTGTTCAAAAGGGTTCCCCAATAATAGGAACAGGGATCGTCTCTGACATGAACTCAGTGGCTGGCCCTTTGATCACCTCCACCTGAGAAGGGAGCAGCCTTACCAGTCCACATAGGAAGACGAAACCAGACCTCATGAGACCTGATAGACTATGGCCATATGGAAGGGGAGGAGGACTGGACTGGGGGAGGGGCATAGGAGAAGAAGAGGGAGGGACGGTGGGATTGGGAAGGGTTGGGGGAGGGGGCTACAACTGGGATACAAAGTGAATAAACTATAATTAATAAAAAATTAAATTCAAAAAGGAAAAAAAAAGATGCTCTCTAAGAAAAGACAGCCTTTTCAGTCTTCAATAAATCTGTGATGTAAAGGCGCTATGAAAAAATTGATTCCAAGCCTGGAGTAGAGGAAAGCCCCTGTAATCCTAGTAATCAGATATTAAGGTAGGAGGATAAGGAGCATAAATTCATCTCAGCAACATAGGACTTTGAGGCCAGTCTCAGCTGTCTCAAAAAACTAGGTGGCTCTATAAAGGAAAACTCGGAGGCGGAAAACAAGAGTACTCTACTAGTGAGGAAATCCCAGAGCAGAGCAACTTCCAGTGAAAAAACTAAATTCTAGGAGCCAGGAGAGGACCCTGGGCAAGTCCAGATGAGAGCCAACAATTAGGCCATGGCAACCTGTGTTGCTGTGGTTGGCATCAAAATGAAGAAACATAAAGCCTACTGTATATCCAGTTTCTGTCATTATACATGTACATGTTTTGTTTGTTCATTTGATTTTTGGTCCTAGAGAGCAAAATACTATGTAGCTGCTTAGGGTGGTTGCAGAAGACAGCTGGTTGTGCAGAAGAAATGACTCTACATGGGTTTGGAGGTGAAGCTGAAAGGTGTTAGCTTTTTTTTGAGACAATCTATTTCAATAAATAAGAAGTTAAGTAGTTTCCTTACCCCGCGGTACTGGCTTTCATTGAAAATCTGAGGTGGCAAGGGGTACCCTGTGGCTGGTCGACTGTTCTCAGGTACATTTTCTCTCATCCACTTTCGATTCTCTTCATTAGCTGCAATATCTTTTTCTTCAAATCCTATTTTGTTGGCTTCTAAGAAACCAAGCACATCTTGCTGTTTCTTCTTAATCTGGAAGCCAAAAGGAGGTGAGGAAACAATTTTGAGAAAATAGTATTTATTCTTTTTCTTCTTTTTTGGACTCAATGGGTTTGATTTAGGAATGCATAATATGCTTATTCAAAACATATGCATGCAATAACAAATGATGGGAAAAGAGACCATGAATTTGAAGGAGAGAGGAAGATGGTGTTTGGAGGGAAGAAAGAAATGTGAATTACAATCTCAAAAATAATCAGAAATGATAAAGTTTTTCTAAAGTGATGAGCTCATTGCTACAAAGTCAAAATAATTTACCACTTAATTCTAGTGTTGGAGATTAAAAAAGAGACTTCCTACACCAAAGGATTTTATTTTTCAAAATCAACAAAGTCAGTGCTTATTAGCCAGCAGACATGAATTTAGACATAGATCAAAATTGCAGTGCAGAAGAAACATTTGCTTTCATTACTTTCTTTTTGATGATCTTACAAGTGAACACCATGAAGATCCTTTTTTACCATCTAACTTTCTCCTTTTCCCACTTAAAGTTCTATATCTAATAATGCCGATCTAATTCCAGATCATGCATATTATTAACTGTATGGTTAATTCAAGCATCTTAATCAGTAGCAATGTCTTCATGTGCCTCATAGTCAGTCAAGTGTCATTTTTACGGTTCAGGCCATAATCTATAAAGTAAAAGATCTAGGCCTGCCTGTATACTAAGTTGGTAGCATAACCTGTATCGCTCATTATCTCATAATATGCATAGTTAAGGCACCATTCACATGCCAGTGCTACCTCGTTAGATTATTAGTGGAGATCACCTACTTGCCTCCTTATCGCACCAAAATCAGAGAGCTTTGGAAATAGCAAAAATAATGCTTACTAGTATTCTCCTATGAAATGCATTTATTTGAGAACTTGATTTCACATATGTTCATATTTGTTCATATAATTATGTTAAAGGCACTTTTAACATCTGAACTATATAAAGAATATGCAAGAAAAAGGGTTTTTTCTTTTATTTTTATTATTATTCGCATTAGTTACATTTTGTTAATTCTGTATCCCAGCTGTATCCCTCATTCCCTCCCCAATCCCACCCTCCCTCCCTCATCTCCTCCCTGCCCCTTTCCAAGTCCACTGATAGGGGAGGACCTCTTGCCCTTTCATATGACTCCGTTTTGTCAGGTATTTTCAGGACTGGCTGCAAAGTCCTCCTCTGTGGCCTAACAGTACTGAAAAGGGGGTTTGTTTGTTTGTTTGTTTGTTTTTATGTTTGTTTGGGTTTTTTTTTCTCAAAGGCTACAAGGCAGAAGCATTTAAAACAAAACAAAAACTCAAAGTAAAATACAAAGAAGTAGTCCACAAAATGAAAATCAAAATGTGAAAAAAGAAACTCACAGACAAAGATGTTTTAAATTCACATTTACCTCCTTTACCACTGTGTACATGCACCAGGGTTATATTTTCATCCAAATTATTTCTAGCTATTGTTACATAATTCATTTTAAATAATACAACTCAAGGAAAATTTCTCAATTTACTAGAGTAAAAACAGAATTCCGGGTGCCTATTTAGGTGAATAATAAAAGTCCTTTCAAAAAGATCAATTATAATCTAATAAAATGTACAATGAAATTAATTTTTCTAACAGTACTATTACTTCATTGACATATAAAATTAAACTATCATCCAGGCGTGGTGGCACACACCTGTAATTCCAGCACTTGCAGAGACAGAAAAAGGCAGATCTCTGTGAGTTTGAGGCTAGGCTGGTCTACAAAGCAAATCTAGTACAACCAAGGGTACACAGAGAAACCCTGTCTTGAAGAAAAGAAAGAGAGAGAAGACAGAGAGAGAGAGAGAGAGAGAGAGAGAAAGAAAGAAAGAAAGAAAGAAAGAAAGAAAGAAAGAAAGAAAGAAGAAAGAAAGAGGCCCTCTATGAGTCTGAGCATCTGCTTTGATACACTGCTAGGTAGAGTGTATCAGAGCATATGCTGAGAATCATAACCAAACCTTGCGAAGAGTGCAGAGAACCATATGAAAGAAGGGGGAGTTAGAAAGACCTGGAGAGGACAGGAGTTCCACAAGGACCAAATATATCTGGGCACAGCGGTCTTTTCTGAGACTGATACTCCAACCAAGGACTATGTATGGATATAACCTGCTCAGATGTAGCCCATGGCAGCTCAGCATCCAAGTAGGTACCCTAGTAAGGGGAACAGGAACTGTTTCTGACATGAACTCAGTGACTGGCTCCTTTACCTTCCCTCCACCCCTGAGGGAAGAGCAGCCTTGCTAGGCCACAAAGGAGGACATTGCAGCCAGTCCTAATGAGACCTGATAAACTAGGATCAGATGGAAGGGGAAGAGGTCCTCCTCTATCAGTGAACTTAGAGAAGGACAGGGAGCAGATTAGGAAGGGAGAGTGAGATTGGGAAGGAATGAAGGAGGGCGCTACAGCTGGGATACAAAGTAAATAAAGTGTAATTAATATAAAAAATAAAAAAATTAAAATTAAAAAACAAAAGAGAGTTAAAATTAAACAGTGATTTCAACTTTCATCACAAAGGGCAATTCAGTCAACATGAAATGGATCAAGTAATTTGTGACTATTTAGACTATTTATTGATATGAGTAGATATATCATATGGTACTTTCAGTAACCTAGAATTTCAACAATAAGAATTATACACATTCCTACCATATTATCACCACTGTGTTTCCGTAGACACAGATCAGAGGCCCTCTAAAATAAAGAGTTCTTTGAGGTCTTTGCCACCTTATTGGATGCTTTTTATGTTGAGCCCACAGTACTAAGTAAATACAGTGGCTTTGTCTGGTATCAGTATGTACAATAGGATATCTTTACTAGCAACTTCATCTGTTATGTCAAAGGTTGAGTATCTTTTTTTAAAAGGAGATTGACAGGGTTTCTGCTTTAGAGGATACCAATGGAAAAGGGCAGAACTTTGCTAATGATATGGGATAACAAAAGGTTTTGTTTCTGTTTTCCTGAAAAAAAAAAAAAATCTGCCAGCCTAACACAAAGCACATTTTTTCTTCTGATACTTTAATGGTACTAACAGAGGCTCTGACTATGAGGAGCTAAAATCTGAAATGAGGGTCAGAAATTTTACATAGTCATTATTTAACAGTATTTACATGGTTAGTGCTAAGCAAAGAACTTTACTGGAGTCTCTATGTCTAAAGAAAAGTAACTCCCATAACCTATGCATATTACCATCTACTGAGAGAGTTAAATTGAGAAACTCAAATTTACACAGTATCTATCTATCTATCCATCCATCCATCTATATATCTACCTATCTATGTTTTTTGAGACAGGGTTTCTCTGTATTGACTTAGCTGTCCTGGACTCACTTTCTAGACCAAGCTGGACTTGAACTCACGGAGATCCACCTGCCTCTACCTCCCTGAGTGCTGGGATTACAGGTTTGCACCAGCTCAAAGGTTAAACACAGTATTTAAATTAGATGCTAAGAACAATGCAGGATGGTTAAGTGGGAAGGAACCAGTGAATTACAAAGCCAGGAAAAAAAAGTACAAATATTGTTGGTATTAGTGATGCCCTTAGGCTAAATGTAATACAGACAGCACCAATGTAAGCGTCTCTACCAATCTTCATGGTTTCAGCCAAAGGTGAAGTTAGTAAAGATTAATAAAACTGGGGCTGGCAAGATAAATTGTCTTGCATGCACACAATTTTGAATTTTTACCCAGAAACTGAGTTTTAAAAACAGCTTAGCCTCTTTGCCTTTTGGGATGGGGATTGAGCGTTTTAGTCTGGGTCATCTCTCTTGATTAGTTTCTTTAGATGTACAGACTTTAATAGGTTTATCCTGTGTTATATGTCTATATGAGTGAGTATATACCATGTGTGTCTTTCTGCTTCTGGGACAGCTCACTCAGGATGATCCTTTGCAGGTCCCACCATTTACCTGCAAATTTTGTGATTTCCTTTATTTATCATTGCAGAGTAATACTCCATTGTGTAGAAGAAAACAAGAAACAACCTAAAAACCTGCCACAGAGGGCCTCTGAAAGGCTCTGCCCTGCAGACTATAAAAGCAGAGGCTGAGACTTATGGCCAACTGTTGGGCAGAGTGCATGGAATCTTATGTAAGAAGTGGGAAATAGTAAGAGCTGGAGAGGACAGGAATCCCACAAGGAGAGCAACAGAACCAGAAAATTTGAACACAGGGAACTTCCCAGAGACTCATACTCCAACCAATACCATGCATGGAGATAACCTAGAACCCCTGCACAGATGTAGCCCATGGCATTTCAGTGTCCAAGTGGGTTACATAGTAATGGGAAGAGGGACTGTCTCTGACATAATCTGATAAGCCTGCTCGTTGATCACCTCCCCCTGAGGGGGGAGCAGCCTTACCAGGCCACAGAAGATGACAATGCAGCCACTCCTGATGAGATCTGATAAACTAAGATCAGAAGGAAGGAGAGGAGGATCTCCCCAATCAGTGGACTTGGGGAGGGGTATGCATGCAGAAAGGGGAGGGAGGGTGGGATCGGGAGGGGAGAAGGAAGGGGTTTATGGGGGTATACAAAGTGAATAAAGTGTAATTAATAAAATAAAATAAAAACAGCTTAGCACGATGGCACCCACATGTAATCCCTGCAACTGGCAAGGCAAAGATAGTCAGATCCCTGGGACTCACTTGTCTACATGGCAAGCTCTGAGATGGTAGGGATACCGTCTCAAGATAAAACAAGATACCAGAGTAAAATACCAGAGTAAGAGCATATCACACACACACACACACACACACACACACACACACACACACACACTATAAAAACTTAGACCAAAAGTGAAAACATACCATACTAAAAACTGAAGACTTATTAATACAAAAAAATAAAGGCATTATAATGTGCTACACTGGGGCTCAAAATCTCTGCTATCACATTTCTTAAAAATAACTAAAATCTACAAATGAATGAGCAATTGTGTAAATAGTTTGTAATTTTTAGAAAATCCT